TTACGGAAAATTAAGTAACGAACGGAGACGTAACAATATTGTTATTTATTATTGTAAAAATTAGTAACTTATTAGACTAGATAAAATATTAATAAACATTACTCGCGATACTCAATATCCTACATTAAGGTAACCATGTGCACATAGAGTGGCATTATTGTAACTCGATTGTTTGTTCACACAAAGCTGTTCCACTGTGGAAAATGTTTATTTTTTTTTTTGTTTGCTTCAGAGCAAAGCAACATTGCACTATGTGCTGTGTCCACCGCGGGGAATTGAACGCTGGATTTTAGCGTTGTTATTATGTAAAGTTACCGCTGTCCCACCGAGGGGACATGATAAATGGTTTTAGCGTACTAAGAAAAGGTCTATATATAAATATAAAGCAACAAACTCAATGAAATCATGAGTAAATAAAACAATATTTTACTGAAAAAGCTTTCGCTTTTCATTTAGGAGGTTCTGTTGGTTATTCAAGTTAAATATGAAAGTGTAAATGAAAAAGTATTTTTTTTTCTTAGCACGAATACCACCTTTCACTTAGGTTGATTCAATAAAAACTTTGGAAATCCACGGACAAATTTTCAGTAGGAATACTTTATTAAAAATTTGTTCCTGTTTTTGTGTGTGTTCAACATACCAATGTTATTTACTAAAAGTTTGCCAAATGTTGCGAAGATACACATAGAAAATTCTGAATCATTGTAAACATTACTTCTCCATTGTACCGACGCTGTAAACAGTGTTATGTTGCTTTTCCTCTAGCTACCTTTGTTCTTTGTCATTAACTTGAGGTAACATTTGGTATACCTGTGAAAAGTATGGCTGTACAGTTGCACGTTGTGTGTAGAAATGGAAAACAGTCTCCTTCAATGATGAGTCAAGCGATGTCTGAACATTAGAATATCCTTTATGTTTGAATGGGAATACCAGTCACGTGGATCACACTTGTTGCTCTGGGTTTCTCTTTTAACTAATTAACATAACGTTTAGTCAGTCTATAATAGAACCTCAACCAAGTCAGTTTTGAGGGAAGTAGCTTAGCTCAAGCAAGCAGATGCACTGTTTTTGTAATTAAATAAAGATTGTTCATTGTATTTTTGTACAATTGTGTCCAATCTCTTCATTTCCTTCTCACGAACTCAGTTACTTAGAGAACATGAAATTACATCGTAATATACATGTTGGTTCCTGTTGTTCTGTGCACCTGTCTTGTCATTCTAAAGGTAAACAGTTTGATCTGAAAATACCATTTCATGTAAAGATTATGAAGAGCTCATTTAGTATTATTCTTGTAATTGATATGTTGTAATATTTTGTTGACGAATTTCTACTTGCCTTGCGATTAGATGATTCTGTATCTGTATTTAAAGGTTTTAATTTATTTTTTGTTTTAATGTATGTTTTGGACCAATGTGTTATGTAAGTTTATTTTCAATTTTATTCGTAAAATGCTGCATTTGATTTGTGTCTAATGATTATAATGTCCAGTGTTTTGTAATATGATTGAGCTTACTTCATTCTTAAAGGGTTTTTGTTGTGTACTGTATTTTGTACTATTTTAATTCTATTTTGTGTTAAATGTTGTTTTTCTGGCGGCACAAACTTATTGATTACCGTATAGATTGTATTGTTGCGACAGCGGAAGTCACGTGACGCTGCTAGCGCATGCGTGACTGAGTTTCTCGAATTATCAGGGAACTCCTCGAATTTATGCGAAGCCTCTTTGTTAGTATATGAGCCTGGCGAGAAAAGCCAGAGGAAATGAATGTATGGCTAAACGAACAGTAGTCACAGTGAGTTTCGGGTAATTTACGATTCTGTTTCGAGCTAGTGTGTGTTTTGCACTCGTAGAGAGCGAAGTTATCGATATTTTGAATCGCTGTTATTTATAGCGTGTTATAAAAGTCGTTAAGTTGAAAGTAACGAGAAACGTACTGACTGTGGAATTACTGTGTACTAAAAGTTTGTATCAAGAAAGAACAAACTGGTTTAATCAAGAAGTGCCTTGTGTTGCTGACGTTCCTCGGAAAGAATTTATACCACAAATTGACAAACAAGCAGATATGCAACAGTATCATTGTTAAAGGTTTTGCATTGAGATATTGATTCATGTGTTAAGTTCTGATATTGTATGTACTAATGCAAAAAATTGTGTATTTTAAAGAGTTGTGGTGAATGTGTTATCTGTGAATGTTTAGAAGATGAGATAAGGTTACAGAACTTCTTGATCGGTGCATTTGTATAAATATAAATTGGCTGTAAAATTTACAGTTAATATTAGCTTAAGGAAATGCCTGAAGTAAAGAGGGGTAGGAAAGTGTAGTATGCAAGCATAATATGCGTTTTCTGCTTTTTTGTTTTAAAAAGAATTTTTTAAAATTTGTCTGTTAGTCAGGGGTATCTACAGTTTGCTCATAAAATGTGGCAAGAAAATCGTTAGGTTGCTTCCACACTGACCATCCTTTCTTTGTCATTCCCTTGATATAACACCTGGTCTGCCCACAAAGGTATGGCTTTACGGTTGAACTTTGTGTGTAGAAATAGACAGCAGTGTTCACCAGTGGTAGGTCAGGTGATGTCTTGACGATAAAACGACCCTTATGTTTGAATGAGAATGACCAGTCATGTGTATAATACTAGCCATTCTGAATAAGTCTGACATTACCATTTGAACTAAATAAAGTAAAATTCAACCAGTCTGGAATAAGATCTCAACCAAGGCAATTTGGAGAGAAAGTAGATTAGATCCAGTAAAAGCGACTGCTTGTTGTATCAAGAAAGAACATATACTGTGTTTGTACAAAGACTGTTCATTGTAAATTTTTACAATTGCATCTAGTCTCTTTATTTTTCTCTCTTGAACTCAGAGAACTCGGACTTATTTCGAGAAAAATATTTTGGCCAAATCTACTGTTATTTTGCCGCTTTAAGGGAAATCAGTTTGACCTGAAAATACCACAGCAGAAATTATCTAAACTTATATCAGACAAAGTTTGTAATCTAGACAAAATTCTTGTAAATGTTATGTAGCAAGTTCTGGATTTCGACAAACTACTTTTTATACATTGAACTTGTCGTTACATTATTTTCAATTATTTCCAAAATGACATAATGGTAACATGACTCCACTATTTAAAAAAAAAAGAGTTGTTATGCTTATCAGTAACGTTAAGATTATCAAATTAACGAAGTTTTTAGGTTTTGATGTAAAGTCCATTACATATTTCTGAAATTATCCGTTGGGTTGAGAAAAAGAGAAAAAAATCACAAATAAATTAATGAATAATTGTTGACCAATGTGTTCGTTTTTAAAAATGAAAATATTTAAAAAAATAATGCATCATACAAGGTTGGCATGTTTTACCTTCAAACATATTTGCTAAACTTCCAAAATTTTTGTTTTCTTTCAAATATTTTGAGACATTTTATTTTGCTGTACTTATCGGAACTTGTAATCATAGGCATAATAAAATATCTAAAATTTATGTTACGTTTACCATTTGTATCATTTTCCAGACAGTTCTGCTATGATTAGCGTCTGGCAAAAAGCTTCAGCAGATATTTCCTTTGCAACATCTCAACCAACAATTGGTCCAGTTTATCAATGCTATTTTCAAGTTTTGAACAACTTGACTTTCAAGATCTACATATCTACATGTGTCGATGTTTTCATTTATCAACGTTATATTTTAAGATCTGTGCAAGAACTCAGCTAACAGATATTTCCGCATATAAAAGCTATCTTCAAGTTTTGTACACCAAAAAACTGTTCAAGTTTAAATTAATGTTGATTAATAGATGATCCTAAGATATTAAAAGTGTAACGTTTGCCATGATACAGAGATGTATATTATCTATGGTCAGTTTGGAGAGCATAACGTAAATCTATTTCAAATTATAATTGCAATAAATCTTTATTTATTTGATATTAGCCCCCCAGTGGCACAGCGGTATGTCTGCGGACTTACAACGCTAGAAACCGGGTTTCGATACCCTTGGTGGGCAGAGCACAGATAGCCCTTTGTGTAGCTTTGTGCTTAACTATAAACAACAACATCAACAATTTAATATTAATTATAAAGAGCAGGTCAGATTGGCCCGCAAAATGTCTAGCATGAACAGTTGCAAAACAGCTACAGTACAAATGTTGTGCACACCGATACAGTACGTCAGTCAGGGTCAGCTTGAGTGACGTGTTCGTTATACGACTTGCACTTTGCAGGGCATATGT